AGACTCGGGAAATGATAAAACACTTTCTTGCACTCAGTTGCATCTTTTTCTTGATTGTGTTTATAAATCGTTAGGCGTAAAAATACTCTCAACATATGCAAATACAGAAATGCACTGCAAATAACATAGACCACAATGAAAATCTGTGGGAGGACCACAAATAGTTTATAGATTGTTTATTAGATTTGATGGAGATGCAAAAAACATGAATGATTGAGTTCCAGTGGAAAGTCACTTATGGATCAGGATCTGAGAAGCTCTTGAAAACTCTTCCTGGGCTTGTTTTAAATTGTTTGTCAACGGAATCACCGGAGCTTCCCATCAGTCCCGGAGGATTCTTTAGCTGTTCTTTATGACTCTAAGCCACTGTCAAACATTCAATAACAAAAATAAACTCAGAATAACATGCAGCCTCGCTCTCCCATTTGCATCAGTTTAACAAGCTGGGAACATTGCCACGACACCTTTGAAACATTCTAGTAGCACTTCACAAAGGTGCCAGGCGTTGTTGGCAAGCAATGGCATGCTGGTTTTTCTCACAGTGTTCGTGTCGCTGCGGGCACTCTGATACTCACACCATAAGAGGCTCTGCAATGCCCATGTGTGACACTGAGCCCTTAACTCTGAATAAATATTTATTTCAGCCCTTTCCCCTCAAACTGATGTCAGGGACTACCAGAATCAGACTGTAGACTCACCTTTGTCCCAATATAACCAGTTGTAAAGTAGTCAAGACAAAAAGACAAACATAGTGGAGTATATATACGTCTGCTTATAAATTTACTCCTTGCAGATCTGCATGTTTATCTTTTTTTTCCCAAGTAAAATGGATTATAAAAACAGCATTTATGAATCAATGCATGTATAAAGTTATTTTTATAGACATTTAACAGTCAATGGTTTGTAGTTGGTAACATTTAAAAATGTTCTATTTGACCTCATAAGGACACGTTAAAATAATCAACGAGACAGTAAAATCTGTTATAATTAAATTTGATTTTTTTTTCTGCTGTGTTTATTAAAGGATCCTAAAGATCACACACAAAATTAAAAAACAGCTCAGAGCTTTAAATATCGATAATTATAAGAAAAGTTTCTGAGGAATTGTACATAGGATGAATTTTGAAGGATCATGTAAGACTGAAATTTTAATAAAAAAATAAAGTGCCCAAATATTGGCAATTTCACACTGTCATTCACATATTGATGCAGAAATAAAAAGACATACTTACTGAATTGTAATTGTTTAAACAAAGTAATGACTTATTGATCATAAAAAATTGTATTGTGTTTTAAATGTATAAATTAATATTTAGAGTACACTGTAAAATATTTTGGGTTCCACTCAATTTCAGTGTTTCAGTGTTGTCCCAATACAAATCAATTAAGTTAACTTAATTGTTTCTACAAATTTAACATAAAAAATTAGGTTGTCCCCCCCAAAAAAACTCATGATTTGTGTTAATTCAGCAGAGTGAACTGCCAACTTATCCAGCATTTGTTTTACGCAGCGGATGGCCTTCCAGCTGCAACCCATCACTGGGAAACATCCATAAACACTCATTCATACACATACACTACTGACAATTTAGCTTACCCAATTCACTTTTACCACATGTATTTGGACTTGTTGGGGAAACCGGAGCGCATACTTTTTGTTTTGTATTAAAAATGCAGCATTTTGACCAGGACAACAAACATACCTTGAAAGAAATAAGGTATGGGTTGAGTTCACAAGACAAAATAATAACTACATTTACACAACGTGTCAGATTTACACTTGGCTCTTATTATTTGGTGCCTTCTCAAGCATTTTACAGTGCCCAGCATATATGAGTACACCCCTCACAAATCTCTCATTTAAATTAATATTTTCTATAGGATACTGTACAATATTATATGTGTGCATATACATTAGTTTGGTCTAAATAACTTATGATTGATGTCTAAAAATTAGTAGCCTAAATTTATATATTATAATGAAAATATCAAGAGAAACAAAAAAAAAAAAACTATTTTGTTAAAATTTTTTACTTTTATACTATTATTTTTTGCTATATTTGCATGAATTTAAATGTATTATCTTGCCATTTCTAAAGATGTTCGGTGAGTAAATTATTATGATAAATAAATCTGTATTGTTCAATTGCGCCCAAATATATTACCTATATTTAATGAGAAATAGATTTAAATTATTCTAATCCCCGTATACACATTAATTTATTATTTTGTCATATTTTGTCTGCACAGTAAATAGTTATAATTCTATTAATTATTATCATTTTATTTTTAAAACGAAAAGCGCTCAGATTTTGTGAAAAGCATATTAAGTTATGTGAAGAGGTGTAAACTCAATCAATTCAGCTACAAAAGGGATTATATATCATAAATATCCATTTAAACACACTCTCAGAAATAAAGGTCCCTGGGGTGGTACATTTTCAAAAGTTACACTTATGTACTATACAGGTTCACATTTTTTTCATTTAAGGTAAATGGTAATAGCTAAAAAATACAAATGTGCACCTTAAAGGAACAAAGTTGTACCTTTTAATTTACCAATGTGCACCTTTAAGATACAAAAGTTTAACTTTTCAAAAGATACCCCCCCCCCCCCCCCCCCGTGACAGTTTTATACTTTGATTTCTGAGAGTGCAGTTATACTCCATGTATTTGACAGAGTTTTTAACCCTGTTAGTGAGAGTTATTATACAATGGCTATTAAATAAACGTTTAAAAATAATTGGTTTAATTTGCAGTGTCAAATATGTTTGAATCAAGAGGGTGCTTGAATGCTACAAACAACCAACTATAAGTTGCCTCTATGATTGTCATGCTATTTAAATCCAGAAGACTGAGGGGATGAAGACACAATTTTAGGTTGTTTTAAAAGATTCAAACAGATGCTCATTCCATGCTGTATTTATCCAATCACACATTGACCTCATGAATAGGTAATCTAACTGTTAAGCGGAAAAGAAAGTAAAAGAAGAAAATAA